GAAAAACTGAGGCAAGAATAGATTGAAGAATATGTCAGACCAAGAGCTCGGTTGGGGGCATGTTAGAAATCACAGAGAGAATGACATACACAGGTTAGACATACACAGGTTTGAAAAAAATCTGGACTAAAGATAAAGACTTGAGTGTACATCAGTTTAAGGATTATATTTATAGCACGGAACTAGGTGAAATCATCTAAAATTGTACAGAAAAAAAAAGAGGGCCCAGGATAGATCTCTGAGGCAATCCAACATTTAGAGGTTGGATCGAGAGGAACCAGCAAAGGAGGCAGACAGAACAGCTGGTGAGGTAGGAGGAAAACCTGAAAAGTGTGTCATCACAGAAGTCAATGAGAAAGTGTTTCCAGAATGAGAGAACTGTCCATTGTCAAGGAGACTGATGAGGGCTTGACTACAACAGGGACAGTGAAACAATCTCCCACAAATCAGAAGAAATTCATCTAATACTGCTTCAAAGGAATGAAATTTTTCAACCAATGCCTATGCCTAAAATGAACTACCTTGTGGTTCTTACCCAATTTAACATCTTAACTAAAGGGAGGTATTTCTGGTGAGGAGTGGGGAAGGTGGGAAAAGTGAAGGCAAAAGTTGATTGGGTATCCTAAAGAGAGATGATCAAGGTAAAAATCTCTGTGTAAGTTATAAAGCAGAATAGAAGAGTAAAGCTTAAGTACTGATTACTAAATAATACTAAAAGTAAGAGATCATTGTTAATAATCATGATTCTATTAACTGAAATGTGTTTTTACTGGCCTCAAATGAAAGATTTAAATCTCTAGTAACAGCAGTCTCAGAAATAGGGAATTGCAAAACTGAAAAAAAAAAAAAATCAAATAGAAACAACTGAAAGTTTTCTCATGAATATTACTTAAACAGGAATTTCTAAGATATAACTGTTTAAAGATTCAACATATTTACCTGCACCTAAGGATGTCACTAAGCCTAGGTAAAACTGACTAGCAATGCCTTGATGCCAGGTATTGGCTTAAACTTACCCAGCCTTCACAAAATTGTTAAGGTAGTGAAATTTAGATTTTGATAAATCAAGGTTTCCCCTTGGTGGGTTTTAAGCAAAGGCCAGTTCCCTTCCAGTTTCTTTTTCCCTAATATTTGTCTTTATTTCTCAAAGAGGGAAAATTCAGTATCATTATTATTTTACCAAGGATGTCCTCAATTAATGTACGTCAAAAAAGAAGCTGCCTCAGTAATTGTAAAAGTGGATTTTATTGATAGTCTTTAAAGACAAAACTTGTTCCAAGTTGTTCTGAGTAAATTGTCTAGAGAGGTCAAAATAAATTTAAACCAACACAGCTCCTACTAACTAATCAGTCAGGGGAATTAAGCATAAATTGTATAATTCTTCATTTTGAGCTTTGAAGTTATTCTTCACATAGAGTTTCTGCTGAAATTCAGCATGTTTGAATTCCTCGAATTCAACATAAACCCCAAAGAGAAAGGAAAATCCTCATCTCTTAAAGCCTCAGTTTCAACCACAATTAAATGGAAATGCTACCACTTGTCCCATTCTCTCATTTTAGAAACCCAGGGGAACCATGCCTGGGGCCTTGGGCCTCAAGCATTCTTATGATCAGAGAAGGGAAAATCATATGCTAACCAAATGCTATGGGAATAGCCTATGACCAAATAAGGCCTTGAATTAAAAAATCCAAAGTAGTTTTTACCTGTAGGAGCCTAAAACAGCCCCTTAAAGAGGACTCAAATTCACTTATAGATTCAGGCAGAAGTAGAAAGGTATTTGCTCACTGCAAACTCTCTTTTCTCACTCCTCAGTCTTAACTGGGAAGTGTTGGTGTCAAAAAGAACCAAGTTGGGAAATGGGGAAGGTGACACTAGGGCACTCGTCTTGCAACTGTCTAAGCATCCAAGATGGAACTCCTCCTACAAAGAAAAAATAATGAATTTCTCTTTCTTA